ATGTAATTTATGGTTTATGAGTTTACTATATTTATCAAAATAGGACTTTTTATCGCAAGCTAATTACTTGAAATATAATATTTTGTTAATAGCCTATTACATTAATTAAAATTGCTTATATAAGGTACTTTTACATTAAATATGCTTTAATATCTAATTACCTATTTATAAGTACATTAGACAAAAGCTATACAACTACTTTTATTAGTATAATATACTCATATGATCAATATTGATCATATTTTGATTAATGAACTAATATTTTATTTTTAAATGTTGAAAATAATAATTGTAATAATACTCTAGAAAAATGTCAATGATTAATGATTTAAGTAAACATAACAATAAATATAATTTAGTTTTTAAAATATTTTTATTCGTAAATAACAAATACATCAATTATATTGTTGATCACATGATAATGATTGGCCACAAATTATTGATACCTGGTAACAACTTGTTAACAATTAAACATAATTTTATAATAGGTTTACAGCAAACTTGATAATGAAATATTATTGAATTTTTATGATTATTGAAATATATAATATAAATCACAATTATGAGCAGGTAACTCACATAAATTGCAAACTATAACTCTAAAACACAAGTAACACTGGTATATAATATTGATATTGCTATAATTTGTATTTTAAAATATTAATTATTTTATAATCATTCCAACGTTAATACTATTATATGAACAATAAATATGTATGAATCATATTGTATGATAATATTTAAAAATATTTATACATAAATATATGATTGTCATTTATAATTATTAACTCGTAATCTAAAAGCATCACGCTTAGATAATGACTAGCTGAACTCATTACGATTTAATCTAGCTCTATTTAAAAAATAGTTTTAATAACCTTAAACAATTTTTATATTTTCCATGCATGTATTATATTTGAAATATAAAAACAATAAAATCAAATAACATTTTAAAACAAATTCCAGCAATGTATCATTGTATAGTATATTGCAAAATATACGTACAGTGAGTGTACAGCATAAGGGATTGTCATTAAATAAAAGTTTAAATTTTAATACTTTTTAACTCAATTTTGCAACCCAAAACTCGTGTTTGTACCTTTTGAAACAACCTTTACATTTTAATACTTAAACTTCATTTTCTCTGGCAAAATGCACCCTGATTGCCGGCAACACTCGGTGGCGCAGTATATACCGCACTGAACGCACACATCAAATGGTCGACCATCGATATACATGGCCAGGAAGCCACCAATCAGGGCATCACCCATCCCGCTAGTATCGATGATCTCGGTATCGGTCATAATTGGTACCGGGTACTCTTTGGTGTTGAACACGTCAGTTTTAGCCAATAGTACCGGTTTACCTCCACGTTGGTTGACCACCACGACGCGACCAGATTTGTAATTGTTAGGTATATTTGGGTTATTATACGACACTTTCGGTTCGTCAGCCATTAGTTTGACAACTTGTTTCAGGTCACGTGTCTTTTGAAAAATAAAAATATTTTACTCATTAAAATTAATTAATATATACTGTAGTATGTAAATATGTAAATACATGTGTTTCACTTAACTGAGTTGTAGCCCCTGTAAGGTTTGTTTTTTTGTATTGCATTTTGTATATAATTTCTATGCCAAATGCAATAAAGTGATGCAAACCTTTCAGGGGTTAAAATGCAGACTAGTGAAATAGTGTTTACACATGGATTGACCCGTGCAGAATAAACTCTAGAAATATGCATTTCAAATTGTAATTATAGAACATTCTGTATGATAATGTGTGTTAGTCCAATAAATACAATTTGAAATGTATATTTCCAGAGTTTATTCAGCACCGGCCAATACATATGTGAATGATTTAAGCAAGCTAATTATTACATGATAACCCTTAACAGTGGCAAAAGCGAGTGCCTCATCGGCGCTGCAGAACAAGAAGTCGATGTATGGAAACAAATCCATCACATAATTAGTCGAGTTGTGGATCACATACGACGCCCCTATAGGTATAGGCCGGAGAAAACGGTAAGAAATTATTAAGAGCTAAAAATAACATAAAATAAGTACCCATGTTAAACACAAAATCTTTGCCCCATTCGTGGCAGTGTTTCGCTAAATACATCACACTATCCGGCGATACTGTAATCATATTAAATAAATGTATAATTTTAGTTAAATATTTTTACGGACAGGAAGGGAGGGTTACAAAGGATTTTAGACAAAATTATCAAAAATAATAAATAAAATGAAATGCATATTTTATTATATAAAATATCTAACTCTATATTGCTAAAACAGTATTTATTATAGCAATTAATGCAATTATTACTGATAATTATGAACATAATTTTTATTTTATAGTGTCTATTATTTTTTATGTTTGCATTAATTTGAATATTAAATGAATACTGTGTTTATGCTTCTATTTGTTAATTAACCTTGGATAATTTGCAACTTTATGTATATCACTAAGTTTGTCATTAGTTTTATTATACTGACATAAATATACCATTTAAATAAATTGGTATACATTAAATTAAATAATATATTAAGTAACAAAACATATATGATTTTTAAAGTTCAATGCTGCATTTAATATTTATTACTTAAAATATGTATTTTTACAAAAATGTGCATTTATTGATAAATTTTATAACATTGTATTAAATTTAGTTTTATAAATTAATAAACTTACCAGGTAGAAGGTGGCCACTAGTCAGAATCACCCTGGCACGTTCGCAAAACCAGAAGTTGTTCATCAAAAAATGTTTGTCAAAACATGTGCTAGCTCCTATTTTAATAGACAAAATAATATTACATTTATTTAAAATTAAATACAATAAATATTAATAATATATTTTGCTTACAATAATATTATTTTAGCATAGCATGAATAATTACTAGTAAATAAAAATGAACAAAATTATTTTTTTTAATTATAGATTTGTTTGAGAAAAACATTTCGCATTTTATTTTTAAAAAAATATTATAGAGTTAAACATAAGACAAAAATTATATTTATAGAAATTTTATTTTTATAAATATTGTACGCGTTTTGCAATTGATTTTTACGAGTAATTAACAGAAATTTTTATTTTTTGGCAACAGTTGACTGACACGATTCAAATTATTTTTCGTTGCAAAACAGTCCATTAAAATGCATTTCAATTTGACTGTGAAATACTAGTTTCAATGATATATTCATTACAACACGCGATATATTTTTATGCGACATATAAATAATATTAATGTCATTTCTATACATACATTGAGATTATGTGTTAATCAATGTTAGGATAACTCGCTAATTGTCATACAATTAACGCTTGACTAAATTGTCAGGGATAAATAATTAACGCTATATTTTAAGTAGCATCTTAACCTAGTGTACAGTACTCGTAATTATAATTATAAATGTGATAATAATAATTGTATTTTTCAATAAAAAAAATTAACTTGATAACTTTTTAAAAAAAATCTTCAAAATTTACCGAATATTCTTAATATAAATATTTAAAAATTTATAATTTAATCATAAATAGCGAGGATATTTTAGGAATTAGTTATTATCTAACTGCATGTTAAATTTTAAAAAATTAATTAAAAATATCATCAAAACTGACCAAGATTAGCGCACACGGACTTGTATTTTCCATTATTGTTGAACAACACCGTACAGGCACCGGTAGGCTTATCATCGACCACCATATACTTAACATTAAGACCATCCACTTTAACTTTATTAGCCAGGTACTTGCCAAAGTAATCATCGCCCACTGCCCCGATGTAATTAGCAATGGGGTTATTTTTGCCGACTACCCACTGGGCGTAGCGCAGGGCGTTTTGCACCGACCCTCCGGCCGAGTAGTCAATCTCGTACTTAACCACCACCTCGTCGTATAGGCCCTCGTGTTGAATGTCAGCCAAAATTGCCGAGTTTTTTGGCAAATTATAACTAGTTTTGTGTGTGTGAGGGGTGGACAGTGAGGGGAACGGTAGGTATGGGAGAGATTGTGGGGAGAAATAAAGGGATTTTTATTATAAATGGTTTTAATGAAAAGGTTTTTATATTTCTTTAATAAATGATATATTTTGTGTTTTTCATTGAATTAAATGTGAGTTTTGTATAAAATTGTGATTTAATGAGAGAAGTGTGGAGAGAGAGAGAGAGAGAGAGAGAGAGAGACTGTATATTAATAAATAAGATTTTTGT